ATTATAATATAAAACGATAATTCTTTTAAACTCACTCTTATTACAAACATACTTCTAAACACAATCATACTTCTCACTCGTCCTAACCTCATCTCTTACACTGTGTAACCTGAACCTCACCTCTATTCTAGTCTCTCTAGATCAAAGGTGGTAGCTTCTGCATACCAGTATCTTCAGTCCAACACAGACAAATACACAAATACTAACAATTACATAAATACACTACACTACACTCCTCTTGAGTGACCTGTTACTTCTGCTCCCGTCTTTACTGTTCTTCAGTAAAAATAGCACTTCACAGGATTTTTGCCTTTTTTCCCCCAGCCTCCTGCATAATAATATTTATTATTATTAAAACAGAACGGGTACTCCGAGGTCTTTGCGCGCTTCTCTCTACTTTATTAATCTGCTTTAATCTCTTAACTGTCACCACACTTTAAGAACTTCCTTTTAAAACTTAAAAATGCTCTATGCATATTCTTCATAATATTAAAAAATTTCCCAAACATGAGTAACAGTTACTAGTTAACGTTTATCCTATCCGTCAAGGCCCTCTTAGGAAAACACAGATCATTTGCATGCAAATTGTTATTTTCTCCTGGTATTCAAAACCCCATTGTTTTCCTTTTATATCTTTACTTTTTTATGTTTACTTTTACTTTTTTAGTTTTACTTGTAGTTCGTTATAGCTGGAGAAACAGTTCAAGTGACTTTTTACCGTTACAAGCAGATCCTTGGTAGAAAAAACACAAACGTATAAGCGAAAATTGCTTACCGTTTTTTATCGTGGCCACATATTTGTGTTTTTCCTCCAAGCCTCAGCATGTCCAGTGTCACCCGATCGTCTCTTCTCAGCCCCACGTTGGGCGCCATTTGTCGTAAATTCGACGTCTAATCAATTAGAAATTATCAGACCGGAGGTTTTGAATATCAGAAAATAGACTTTATTCTCCATAATAAAGCCGAGAAAGAGCAGAGCAGACCCCAGAGCATTCTGAAGTCTCTCCTGCACCTTCTAAAGTTTCAGTGTGTTTGTTACAATTTTTATACAGGATTATTTGACACACCCCTAAGTCTCTTTTTAACTCTTGACCATTTTTGAATAGGTTTCTAGTCTAAGGGGTCCTGCTATTCTTGGCTCTCAGCCCACTAGCTCATGTCAGCAGAGATGTTACAGGTCTATGTCAGCAAAGTATAGATGCAACTTATGCAAAAGGATTAAGTGTTTACATACATTGTCATGAAAGCATAATCACTTGATAATATGTTACTCATTCTAACTTCTGATACATATAGCTTCATACAAGTATTTAACATAAATAATCAGTGCTTTACATATTCAGTTATTCTACACAATCAGTCACTCAGCCTTCTCCTAGTGTTGCTCCTGTAGGCATACTCATCTTACACAGACATATCACTGTATTTTTAACACAGGCTGGCATGTTTGCTGCAAACACTACATACATTTTGTGAAGAGAAAATTAACTGCTTTACACTTAGAAAATACCTCACACTGAGAGAATAGAAATCTTCTTCAACACACACACACACTGGCCACTTTATTAAGTACACCTTACTACAGAGGTGTCAAGGTCATTTCTTGGAGGACCACAGCTCTGCACAGTTTTGCTCCAACCCTAATCTAACACATCTATTCCAAATAATTAAGGTGATCAAGACTCCTTTGAATGCCTTGATGATTTGGATTAGATTTGTTTGATACAGTTGGAGCAAAACTGTGCAGAGCCATTCGTTTGTGGATGTAAAACTGCAGATACAACATCAACAGAGCATGTGGATGACAGAGTTTGCGTTTGCAAATAATATTGCTACTAAATTCATCCCATACTAACACACCTAAAACACACAATTGGCAAAATTGGCTCAAAATCACACATTGTAAACTAAACCACTAAACTAATGTTCAAAATACAATAATAAACTAACACTACATCATGTCTAACAAAACACTGCAAACTTGTTTCAAAATTAAATTATTATTCATAACACTAACACATGTTCTCTTCCAACAGAAACATTCAGTCAATCAGAACACACTATCAATAAAAACACTATCATCAGCTTAAATTACAGAAACTGCATTAGTTTATGTGTCAGCTCTGCCTTTATATTTGAAGCCTCTCTACAGTTTTGTTTTGTTAGGTTTAGTAAATGCAGGCATTTTCTTTCTTTTACTTCAAAAATTCAATACAAAAATGAAGAAAAAACAATGCTTTATAATATTCACAGTTTATGTAAAAAATAAATACAGACTCAGAATTGCTGTAGTACAGACTTGTTTTGCAATAGGACATCACTGCAAGATATGCAAAAAGAAAAAGCACCGCGATTACAATAAAAAAAAACCAAAGTAATCTTTATTCTGCTCGGCCTTCTGCATTTTGCCACATGTCCTCATCCACATTACACTTGATATCTTCTATGGCCCGACACAGTAACTGTGGGCTTTTGGCCTATTATGTTTCTCCCATGGCGACATCCCCAGCCTCAATATCATGGATAATTCCATGTGGTGCTTGACTGGCCTCCAACTTCATGACTCTCTAAAAGTAATTAGACACAGAGTATGCAAATGCTTCACTGTACTGTATATCTACTGTATATACTAATGAACTCCAGGTTTATAGAGTAGTTTACTGCAAAACACACTGTGTATAGTACAGTATTGACTGTATTGCATAACCTTACTTGAACACATTGGTGACGTAGTTCTTTGATGCGCTCACTGTTCCTTTCAAAAACCTCAAGAGTCCATAGAACATATGATCATGTGTTTGGGAAAAACTCAACACATGAGTGTGGTTTCTAGATGGGAATCAGCTGTGATATATATATATATATACAGTTTTTCTTGATTGCTTTGATGAAGCCGAATCTTTAACTGAAGTTGTCCACTTTTTTCATGTGCTTGAATGTTAAAACGTCCCTCCTTTGAACTGTCACTAAAATAGCCCCCTTAAAAAGAATTTCATATAGAGTTTGTCCATAGTAGTGGGCTAACTGAATAAAATCCTTTCCATAATCCTCAATAGATTGCTTCCCCTGAAGGAGACACATAATAAGAATACTTGCTGGATCCATTGAGCGGTTGAGTCTTCTGTAACAGATGCTGACAACAGAGTTTGAGGATCCACATGTAGTTTATTAGGCAAAATGGTCATGCAGGCAACAATCAAAATAGGTGCAAAAAGATATATGCAGATAATCCAATGTCGAGGTCAATAAAAATGAGAGTCGTCGGTTTAGGCGGCAAACTACATAAACAAACAAAACAAAGCAAGGATCAAAACATCGTAATATCACATTTTAACAGACAACAAGACTCAGCCCAGATGTGTATGAGTGCTCTCTTTATAGTCCAGGTAATAAAACAATGAAGAGCTTCAGCTGTGAGTGTGTGCTTGCAAGTGTGATCAGGGAAAAACGGAACAGGTGTGTGTGTGGTGCTTGATAGGATTTGTAGTTCTTTACTGTGGCTTGTGTATAGTTCTCCAGTGGCGAAGATCGCTGGTTACTATATTGCCATACATTGCCATACATAAAAACAAAATCTTTAAAAAAATATAAAAAGTTAGTGTATTTAGAAATAAATAGGTTGCTAGAGGGGTGTAAAAAGTGGTTAGTAAAGTATAAAGTAATTTAAATTAATTTTACACTCTGAAAAAATTTGACATATGGCTTTTGTGTTTGTTTTGTGGCTTACAGTTTTTTCCAATTGTTTACACACATTTTCTGAAAGCATGTCTCATTTTGTCAGATCTCTACACACAAATCACAAAACACACACATTGGGCAAAACTCATCAATTCTTCTGCAAAATAAAACTACATTCAAAACAATGTGATTTCTTCTCAAAATGATCTTTTGTTTTCAAATGACACACACAAGCCATCACATGAATAGACATTCATAAGATCAGTTGAACAGTAAAAAAAACAGTAAAAAGTGTGTTTTAAAACTGCAATTTGAGTGTAAAGCAGGAATTGTGCTTGTAGTTTAGCAGAGTTGGTTCAGGGGGTTGGTGCATCAGTTACATGTTGTAGTCATTGTGTCTGAAGTACAAGTAATTGTGTGTAAACAATTGGAAAAATCTGTAAAAAGCAAGTTATCACCTCTGTGCATGTAGGATACAAATGCAGCAAGCACACTGTTAACTTAAACAAAACATTGAACGGAACATTGGTAAATTTGACTGTAATATTACATTGTTTTGGTCTTGGTTGAGCCTGTTTGTAAAATATGTTTAAGCATTTTAAATTGGTGTTAACTGGATGCATTTTGTGTCTAAGCAACAAGAAATGTGTTAATTGTAAAGCCAACTAAGACGGTTGTTGTGCTAACTGTTTTAAGAGTTTATAAATTGTATTATGTATTATAAAATGTAACTGTGTTAAGAGTTTGTAAAATGTATTGAAAAAACTGTCATAGTCATTGTAAAAAACTAAACAAAACAACAAACAGAGATCATGCAAACATCACAGGGGTGACTTAAAACTACTGACAACAAGGGCTAGGACCAGAGGGCTCGAATACTGTGACAGATAATAGCATAATTAACAAATTGGATTGCATGAGGGTGGAGACAATAAAAAACCAAAGCAACTAATAAGGAAACTAAGGAACACAGGAGAGCTAACATGGAAGTATGTCACATGGATAACAAAACTAAACAGAAACACAGCCAGAGTTACACAAGTATTCAAATATGGAATTGAGTCCAATTAATTCGATTTAATAAGTTACATTTAATAAAATAGATTTAATAAATTCTATTAACAAGCCTACATAATAGATTATTAGTATTATGCAATGTGTCTAACAACAGACAAATATAGTTTTAGTTTGAGGCATCTTGGGAAACATCATAGTCCACCTGAGTCAATATATAACTCAGAAAGACGTCATGCATAATTTCATGCATGACTAACATATAAAACCAAAGACAGAAGTTGCATCTTCTTGCCTTTTGAGTAGAGGAGGCTAACAATACAATGATTCATATTTTTCTTTGTATTTTTCATCTTTCCAGTGCAGCTATGACTTCAAGATGTATTCCAAGAGGGAACTTTGATCTGCCAGTTTTCATGACTAGTGGAGACTTCACAATAGGAGGAATTTTTCCTTTACATTACAGAGTAGAGCTTTCACCAACAGACTATATGAAGAAACCTTTAACAGCAATGTGTCGAGGGTAAGGATATGTCTTATCAATTTTATTTTTCCCCAAACTGTTTATTAAATCTATTATTTCATTTACATTATGAAAACCCCATCTAATGTATTACAATACTTTCTAAAAGGGGACTTCATAAATGTTCTTTAGGATTTTTAATGAAATAATTGTTTTGTTTTTAATTCAGGTTTGATCCAATGGCTTTTCACTGGGCTCTCACAATGGGACTGGCCGTAGAAGAGATAAACAATCGAAAAGACCTCTTACCAGAACACACTCTTGCCTATAGAATCTTTGACTCTTGTGCAACTCCTGTAATGGCTCAGAAAGCAGTCCTGGCAGCGCTGAATGGACAGGACGTTGTTCAAAGTTTCATGTGCTCTGGAGCTAGCCCCTTATTAGGATTAATTGGGGAGTCTGGATCCTCACAATCAATTGTTGTCTCCAGAACTTTGGAGCCTTTCAGAATACCAATGGTATTATATTTACCTATGGTATATTAATAAGTGTGCATATACACACACACACACACACGCACACACACACACACACACACATATAAATACATACATACATACAACTATATATAACTTAGGTTTTTTATGAATTTATTATTATTATAGATAAGCTATTTCTCCACCTGCTCTTGTCTAAGTGATCGAAAGCAGTTCCCAACATTTTTCAGAGTGGTTCCAAGTGATGACTACCAGGTCAAAGCGATTGCACAGCTCCTAAAGAGATTTGACTGGACATGGATTGGTGTTGTGACTGAAGACCATGATTATGGCAGGTTTGCTTTACAAGGCTTAAAGCGAGAAATTGAAAATACAAATATTTGTTTGGCTTATCATGAAATGATTCCAAAAGACTATACCCAGGAACGAGTCTTGAAGATACTTAAAGTAATGAAGGAATCAACAGCCAAGGTGGTTGTTGTTTTTTCAGGGGAAGGGGAATTTTACCCTTTTTTGACAGAGTTTGTGGCTCAGAATATCACTGGAATTCAGTGGATTGCAAGTGAGGCTTGGGTTACAGCATCAATGTTAGCAGAGACATATTCATTTTTAGATGGCACAATTGGCTTTGCAATCCGTCAAGGACACGTCCCAGGTCTTCAGGATTACATCAGGACCGTCACTCCAGAAAAGTACCCTTCTATTCCTCAGGTTCAGGAACTGTGGGAGGCTTTGTATGGTTGTTCTCCATCCACATCCACCTTGAGCAGTCATTTACCCTCATGCACAGGAAAAGAAACTCTCAGAAAAGAATACTCTGCCTACATGAACACATCCAGCCCTCGTGTGACCTACAATGTTTACAAAGCGGTGTATGCCTTTGCTCATTCTCTTCATAATCTTATTGAATGTAGAAATGGACATGGGCCATTTGAGAATTTCTCATGTGCGAACCTCAACAATGTGTTTCCATGGCAGGTAAAAGTACTTGAGGATTTGATGATAACTTCTGTTTAAGTAGATTAGTTATTATATTACACATGAACTGTCTAGATGTGGATATTTGTTTTAATCATCTCCATTTTTCCCTCTGCTTTCTTCAGCTTCAACATTATTTACAGGAAATATCCTTCTCTATTTCTGGAGAGGAAGTTAATTTTGATATCAAGGGAGATGCAATACCATCTTATGATTTAATAAACTGGCAAAGAAGTGCAAGTGGAGATATGCAGTTTATTAAAGTGGGCCTCTATGATGGTGCTCAGAATTCTGGCAAAGAACTGGTGATTGAGAAGCAGGCTATTACATGGTCTAACCAACAGACTAAGGCAAGGTGTTGACTGTACACTACACTGCCATCTGTTGTTCTAATAATATAACTGTCACTATACAGTATGTGCTCATTAAGCCTTTATACATTTGATAAAAAGATGTGCTGTTTCATTATGCTAAAACTGACAATGCATCTGGTATCGCATTCTGTTATTTGGAGACTCATATTCTTGGGAAGAGGTTATAATAAAAATAATTTTAATTTAGGTACCTGTTTCTGTATGCAGTAACGGCTGCACTCCAGGATACAGGAAGGCTGTCCGACATGGGCAGTCTCTGTGTTGTTTTGATTGTGTTCCATGTGACATTGGCAAGATCAGTAATGAGACAGGTCAGAGCTCTGTGATGCATGTTTTCCTATTGACAAAAATTATATAAAGACACCATTTATTCATGCTGTCATATTTAATTCCAATGCACTTCATATGGTTTTCTTTCTTTTTTTTCTTTGAAAGATTCAGTAGATTGTCTGTCTTGCCCTGAAGACTATTGGTCCAATGTAAATAGAACAGAGTGCATCCAGAAAGTGATTGAATTTCTCTCCCATGATGCGATGGGAATGACCTTGACTGTGATAGCTGTAGCAGGAGCCTTTCTGACCATCACTGTGCTGGGGATTTTTCTGTACAACAAAGGAACCCCTATAGTCCGTGTGAATAACTCTGAACTCAGTTTCTTCATCTTGGTATCACTGACTTTTTGTTTTCTGTGTGCTTTGATATTTATCGGGGAACCCACATCCTGGTCCTGTATGCTTCGGCACACTGCATTCAGCATCACCTTCTCGCTTTGCATTTCCTGCATCTTGGGAAAGACTTTAGTGGTGCTGGCTGCTTTCACAGCGACCCGACCTGGAAACAATATAATGAAATGGTTGGGCCCTACACAGCAGAGAATCATCATTTTCTGCTGCACTCTCGTTCAGGTGCTCATATGTACAGTCTGGCTTGTAGTATCCCCACCATTTCCCTATAGAAACACTAAATATCAACAGTCCAAGATCATTCTGGATTGCAGTGTGGGCTCTGATCTGGCTTTTTGGTGTGTGCTGGGATATATCGGTCTTTTAGCTTGTGTCTGCTTTTTTCTGGCTTTTCTGGCCCGGAAATTACCAGGTAATTTTAATGAGGCCAAATACATCACCTTCAGCATGATTATATTTTGCACTGTATGGCTAGCTTTTGTGCCTGCATATGTCAGTTCGCCTGGTAAGTTTACAACTGCTGTGGAGATTTTTGCTATACTAGCTTCTAGTTTCGGCCTGCTTCTCTGCTTGTTTGCTCCAAAATGTTACATTATTTTAGTGAAGCCAGAGAAAAACACCAAGCAACATTTAATTGGAAAAGTCACAAAATGAATAGTGTTTGTACAGATTTTCAAAAAAATTAAAAATGATAAAAATGCTATAAACATGAAATCCAAATATTATCTTCAACTATGAACTTTTAAATATTTTAGGGACAGAGTCAATATCCTATGCATTTATTTTTTATTTTTGTAGTATTCAATTTGTTTTTCAAGTTTCATGATTCCAACAAGCTTGTCAGAAATGTTTACGTAAAATAACAATAGACAATGAAGATGTTAACTGATCTCTAGGTTATGTAACCTACACTGTAGCCACTGGTTTTTGCAATAAAAAATAAAGTCTAAATAAAAAAAGTAACAACAAAATAAACAAAATAAAGACTGTCTATACATTCACTGTCCATTTTAATTCATATGAAATGGACCCAACAACAGAAACCAAATAGTATGAGTGAAAGTATAATACATGCAGACCTTTACCCCTCACACCTACAAGTTTAATATTTTTTATATGGTTAAGTTACAGGTTCATACTAGTCTTTTTTTTAATCTGCCCCCAAGTTATTATTTGATTTAGATGGTTTGTAATCACATTTTTTGGGATTGTTGCTTGTTCAGCAGAATACATTAACAGTTAGACCCTCCTTTAATGTAAATTTGCACAGGATAACAATGTGTGTGTGACTGTGTGTGCATATAATCCGCAGGTCGGGCGGGTTGGGTAATAAAAAAATACGTTATGATTAATTGTGGCTGGATGTAGCAGGACATGGCAGTTGGCCAGCGAAAAAGCAGAGAGTGGGCTTTGCAGAATGGGAAGATGGGACGTGAAAAATAGTGGATAAAGTGCAAGAGTATCCTACTGTTCAAAGTTTTAGTTAGAGGAGTCATCAGACGAAAATCTGCTCTAGTTCTGGAAGAAACAAGATCGCTTATTTACACGACTACAGCTCCTTGTGGGGATAATCTTGTTCATTCCTACAACAAGTGATGCGAGCGTTATCATCCGAATTCAGGCACAGTAGATGCTGTTTTTGCACAGTGTACAGAAAAGGGCCAAGTAAATTGGCACCCTTTTTGTTATCTTGTTCCTGTATTCGTAAAAGCTAAAATGTCTTATTTTTACTTTCTGTATTTGAAAATGAAGAAAAAGTTGTCTAAAGACACTTTTGTTTTTATGAATAAATTTTCATTTAAAAACGTTTAAGATTAACATTATTTTACTATCTGAGCTGCGCAGATTATAGCTCACTGAATCTGCTGTTAATATCCACGGTAACCTATCATCATGCCTAAAACAAAGAATTAAATTATTAAAGTGACAATCGGGCACGGGTCGGGTGCGGATATATTTATACAGTTGAAGTCAGAATTATAAGCCCCCCTTTGATTTTTTTTTTACAATTCCTAAATGATGTTTAACAGAGCAAGAGAATTTTCAAAGTATGTCTGATAATGTTTTTTTTTTAGTATTATTATTCTGGAGAAACTCTTATTCATATTATTTTGGCTAGAATAAAAGCATTTTTTTTTTAAAGTACAAAATTATTAGCCCGTTTAAGCTATATATTTTTTCAATAGTCTACAGCAGTGGTTCCAAACCTTTTTTTTTTTACCTGAGACCCCCTTTTCCCCTGGAAAATATTGTAAGGCCCCCCTGCACATTTAATGATATAATCGCTCATATATGTTTGCAGTTATGATGACAAAAAAATTGGTTTTCAAACAAACGGTTTGTTTATCACTATATCTAAATATGTTTATGCACAAATAAAAGCCTAATGTTTCCCAGAGATGGGTTGCAACTGGAAGGGTATAATAAAGGGACTAAGCCGAAAAAAATGAATGAATGAATAAAAGCCTATTGTAAATTATAAAGGCAAAACATCAGTAGGCCATTTGTAACTGAAAAACATAAGCCTTTGGCCTTTAAATTGACCCTATTTGAAATTCGATGACAAAAATATCAGTATTTACACAAGTTTATAAGGGAAAAAACAATATAGGCTATTACAATTAGAGTGAGGATTTCTGCGAGGCGAATCCGTAAGACTCTGTTTTTTTTTGTGGAGGAAGGATTATAAATTTGTCCATTTTTGGTCAGCCAGGTCAGGGATCCTCAACCATTTTATCACCACGCACCAACGTTTGCAATTTTAACGGGGGGTGGGGGGGGGTGGGGGGGTGCTTTGTAGGTTGCTATGCGACCATCAACCGTTTTCTCAGAGAATGACTAACTAACAGAACATTGCTGTCACTTTCTGATACTGATGCTTGTGGCCCGGAGTTCATTGGTGCGAGCGCATCACGCCGCTTGTGCGCGTAAGCCGCGCACCTCCATTGAAAAAATAAACTTGTGCAGACTCTAGAAATACGCAATATACAAATAGCACCTTAAAGGCTGTGATCATTTGCAATCTCCATCAGTTGATCTTCTTGCACAGCCATGGTGGATTCACCTGATTTGTTGACAAGTGGGTTGCGGATCTGTTCCTTGGCAGTACCCAGGTCGTTCACTGGGTCTTTTTCCCTTTGCAAAGAAACTTTCCAAAGATGTCTGTTTCTTACTCATTTTGCTGCTTGTGGGTTAAATTTGATCGCTAAAGTGACCAAGATGTAAGCAATAGTGTGGTCATTTTTCAAAATAAAAGACTTTTCAAAATAAAAGATCGTTCAGACTCAGATAATAAGTAAAACGCAAATAATTAATGATTTCTTGCGGCCCAGAACCAATTGATCCAAGGACCAATGGTTAAGGACTACTGAGCTAGGGGATAAAATGAAGGCAACATGATCATTCTCCTAATTGTTCACTGCTAAGATTTTTAAAAATATGACGAGACCCCCCACAAACCTCGCTTAGGCCCCCTTGTGGGCCGCGACCCCCTGTTGGGAACCGCTGGTCAACAGAACAAACCATCATCATACATTAACTTGTCTTATTACCCTAACCTGCCTAGTTAACCTAATTAACCTAGTTAAGCCTTTAAATGTATCTTTAAGCTGTATAGAAGTGTCTTGAAAAATATCTAGCAAAATATTAATAGTTGTCATCATGGCAAAGATAAAATAAATCAGTTATTAGAGATGAGTTATTAAAACTATCCACTGCAAAAAAAAAAAAAAAAAAAAAAAAAAAAAAAACGTTTCCCAATTTCTAAAATTATGTTTAGAAATGTGTTGAAAAAAAATCTTCTCTTCGTCAAACAGAAATTGGGAAAAAAAATTTAAATAAGGGCAAAAAATTCAGGGGGGCTAATAATTTTGACATCAACTATATATATCAGATAAAACTATATCTGATATATAGGGCTGCAGGTGGATGATTAGTATAAAGCTGCGAATTCGGGTGTCATTTCAGCTGACCCGTGCATCTCTACATACATACACAAACATATATATATATATATATATATATATATATATATATATATATATATATATTAGCCCTTCTGTGATTTTTTTTTTCTTTTTTATATATCTTAAGTGAAGTTTAGTTGGCTGGAAAAAAATTTTTTTTTTTTTTTACACTTTTTAAATTTTAAGGTAAATTTTATTAGACTCTTTTAGGATTATTGTAAGAATTAAAACAAACCAGAGTTATCAAATAACTTACCTAATTCTCCTAACCTGCCTAGTTTACATTATAACCAAGTAAACTCTTTAAATTACACTTTAAGCAATAATCTTCAATCCATTAAACAACACTTGGGAAATATTTAAAAAGAATTTATATTTCACAGGAGGGCTAATAAATGTAGCTTCAGCTATATATTTTATATATAACACTCATTATGTCAACAAAGTTTGATGATGGGTTGTATTTAAATGAGGGTTTACATATTCATGCCTGAACTGTTGCATCATAGGTGATATTACTCTCCTCTCAATTTAGCAAATTCTGCAGCGCGAGGAACCATACATAATGAGATGAAAATGACTAACCATATAAAACCTTTGGAAATAGAAACAACTTTATCTGTGTGCTTTTGGAGTTAGAGCAATGATTTACATTTTCATGTCGATATTTCATCTTTCCAGTGCGGCTATGGCTTTAATCTGCTCCCCACATGACTTTGATCTGCCAGTTTTCATGACTAGTGGAGACTTCACAATAGGAGGAATTTTTCCTTTACATTACAGAGTAGAGCTTCCACCAACAGACTATATGAAGAAACCTTTAACAGCACAATGTCGTGGGTAATGACGTTTGTTATTTTTCAGTTGCTTCTCTTCCATTCATCGTTTCAGTTGTTTTATAATTAGTATTACAGTTATTGAAATCAATCAATGTTCTAAAACATTTTTTACAAAAGTTATTATGTAACAATTCATTTCCTTATTTTTTATTTATCTAAAATGTAGGTTTGATCCAAGAGCTTTCCGTTGGGCTCTCTCTATGAAGCTTGCTGTGGAGGAGATAAACATTAGAAAAGATCTCCTCAACAATTTTACACTTGCTTACAAAATATTTGACTCTTGCTCTACTCCTGTAACAGCTCAGAAAGCAGTTCTGGCTGTAATGAATGGGCAGGAAGTTGTTCAAAGTTCTATGTGCTCTGGGGCTGGCCCTTTAATAGGATTAATAGGAGAATCTGGATCTTCACAGTCTATTGTTCTTTCCAGAACAGTGCAAGCCTTTCAAATACCTATGGTATATTAATTTTATTATATATATATATATATATATATATATATATATATATATATATATATATATATATATATATATATATATATATATATATAATAATTAACTTTTTAAAATTTATTTATTAATATTATTATTATTATTATAGATAAGCTATTTCTCCACCTGCTCTTGTCTAAGTGATCGAAAGCAGTTCCCGACATTTTTCAGAGTGGTTCCAAGTGATGACTACCAGGTCAAAGCGATTGCACAGCTTTTAAAGAGGTTTGACTGGACATGGATTGGTGTTGTGACTGAAGACCATGATTATGGCAGATTTGCTTTACAAGGCTTAAAGCGAGAAATTGAAAATACAAACATTTGTTTGGCTTATCATGAAATGATTCCAAAAGACTATACCCAGGAACGAGTCTTGAAGATTCTTAAAGTAATGAAGGAATCAACAGCCAAGGTAGTTGTTGTTTTTTCAGTAGAAGGAGAGTTTTATCCTGTTTTAAGAGAGTTTGTGGCTCAAAATATCACTGGAATTCAGTGGATTGCAAGTGAGGCTTGGGTTACAGCATCAATGTTAGCAGAGACATATTCATTTTTAGATGGCACAATTGGCTTTGCAATCCGTCAAGGACACGTCCCAGGTCTTCAGGATTACATCAGGACCGTCACTCCAGAAAAGTACCCTTCTATTCCTCAGGTTCAGGAACTGTGGGAGGCTTTGTATGGTTGTTCTCCATCCACATCCACCTTGAGCAGTCATTTACCCTCATGCACAGGAAAAGAAACTCTCAGAAAAGAATACTCTGCCTACATGAACACATCCAGCCCTCGTGTGACCTACAATGTTTACAAAGCGGTGTATGCCTTTGCTCATTCTCTTCATAATCTTATTGAATGTAGAAATGGACATGGGCCATTTGAGAATTTCTCATGTGCGAACCTCAACAATGTGTTTCCATGGCAGGTAAAAGTGTTTTAGGGTATGGTGGGAACTGCTTATTCAAAATTAAAAGAAACAGAGTTTTACATATAGGACAATAACAAATATAAATAAATAATAGTAAATAAAACCTTGTAAATAATTTATATGTTACTCCTTTAAATTGCAAACAAAATTGTCCTTATGTTTATCTTGTCTTCTTTTTCAATTTTTATTATTTGAATATTACTCCTTCATTTGTTTGGTTGTTTGTTCTCCAAAGCTGAAGCATTACCTTGAGGATGTTTCCTTCTCAATATCTGGACAAAATGTTAACTTTGATAATAAAGGAGACTCAGTTCCATATTATGATTTAATAAACTGGCAAAGAAGTGCAAGTGGAGATATGCAGTTTGTTAAAGTGGGCCTCTATGATGGTGCTCAGCATTCTGGCAAAGAACTGGTGATTGAGGAGCAGGCCATTACATGGTCTAACCAACAGACTAAGGCAAGGTGTTGACTGTACACTACACTGCCATCTGATATTTCAGTGAAATAACCCCTATTGTCTTGATTTTGTTAGAATTTCTATCTGAACATTTGGTTGTGTATGCTGTGTATCAATAAAGAAAACAATAATTAAATATGTATCTAATTTCTTATTACATGTACTTTTTTATAGGTGCCCGTGTCTGTGTGCAGTTATAGGTGTGCACCAGGATTTAGGACAGCTGCCCGTCGTGGGCAACCTTTGTGCTGCTTTGACTGTGTTCCATGTGAAAGTGGCAAGATCAGTAATCAGACAGGTAGAGTCACCTTGCTTGTAAGCTTCCTTGCTGCATCTTGAATATGCTCTCATTATTGTAATTGTTTGATATCCTCCATGGCCTGTGCAGTGTAAAAATATATTTTTATTTTTTAGATTCAGTAGATTGCCTGCCATGTCCTGAGGACTATTGGTCAAATGCAAATGGTACATCATGTGTACCAAAAGTGATTGAATTTCTCTCCCATGATGCGATGGGAATGACCTTAACTGTCATAGCTGTAATAGGAGCCTTTCTGACCATCACTGTGCTGGTGATTTTTCTGTACAACAAAGGAACCCCTATAGTCCGTGTGAATAACTCTGAACTCAGTTTCTTCATCTTGTTATCACTGACTCTTTGTTTTCTGTGTGCTTTGATATTTATCGGGGAACCCACATCCTGGTCTTGTATGCTTCGGCACACTGCATTCAGCATCACCTTCTCGCTTTGCATCTCTTGCATCTTGGGAAAGACTTTAGTGGTGCTGGCTGCTTTCACAGCGACCCGACCTGGAAACAATATAATGAAATGGTTGGGCCCTACACAGCAGAGAATCATCATTTTCTGCTGCACTCTCGTTCAGGTGCTCATATGTACAGTCTGGCTTGTAGTATCCCCACCATTTCCCTATAGAAACACTAAATATCAACAGTCCAAGATCATTCTGGATTGCAGTGTGGGCTCTGATCTGGCTTTTTGGTGTGTGCTGGGATATATCGGTCTTTTAGCTTGTGTCTGCTTTTTTCTGGCTTTTCTGGCCCGGAAATTACCAGGTAATTTTAATGAGGCCAAATACATCACCTTTAGCATGATTATATTTTGCGCAGTATGGCTAGCTTTTGTACCTGCATATGTCAGCCAGCCTGGTAAGTTTACAACTGCTGTGGAGATTTTTGCTATACTAGCTTCTAGTTTTGGCCTGCTTCTTTGTTTATTTGCCCCCAAATGTTACATTATTTTAATGAAGCCAGAGAAAAACACCAAGCAGCATCTCATGGGAAAAGTTATAACATGATGAATAATATAAATAGCACAGTTTGTCTATTATGGTATGCTATGTTTATTCTGAAGGGATATTTTTAACATAAAAATGTAAGAAAAAGAAAAGGTCTGTATGCATTCTTGTGCACCAAAACAACATTTTATACATCTCATAATGCAAACACAAATGTCCCTTCTTTCTAAGGATTACAGCTCGTAGGTTGTACTACTGTTGTAAAAAGAATACATTAATAAAATATATTTGTGAAAATGAGTATTTTGAATCCTGTTAATGACATCTGACTGTGATGCATAATGAGATGCAAAGGAACCTGTATCTGCTATATATATAACAGGTTGCCCTGCCTACTCTAGTCATGCTGAGCGATGCATTCATTAGAGACAATGACTATCCTGCTTCTGTGGCTACTGGTTTACCATCTCAGTGTACTCAATCCCGCACAAGCTTCCAAATGCCTACTGCAAAATGAATTTGAGCCAGGCCTCATGGCTAATGGAGATTTTGTAATAGGTGGTATTTTTCCTTTACACTATAATCAGGAAATGCCAGACCTCAACTTTACTTACAAACCTGGGCCGGTCAAATGTAATGGGTGAGAGCTTTATGTGTGCACAGTATGTAAATACGTATCGATTTATTCTAAGAATCTTGAAAGGTGTCTTGTTTGAAAACATTTAAACCTGTGTAAAAGTGTTGATGCTTTTTAAGTTTTCTTCTCCGTTTATGTCATCTGCAGGTTTGATACGAGAGCTTTTAGATGGGCCATTACAATGAAACTTGCAGTGGAAGAAATTAACAAGCGAGTTGATCTCCTTCCTAACTACACTTTGGGTTACAAAATCTTTGACTCTTGTGCTTACCCTCTGACAGGACAGAGATCAGCAGTGGCTGTTCTAAATGGGCCAAATGAACTAGAAAGCCCCTTGTGTGCAGATGCTGCTCCACTGCTTGCTGTGATAGGAGAATCTGGGTCAGCTCAGTCTATTGTAGTTTCTAGAATTTTGCAACCTTTTGGGATACCAATGGTGAGTCTAAAGTGAATTGTTTTCATTGTTTATCATTCACTAAATAGCATTTTATAGTGTTTGTGTGCACTTTTTAGTGATAGTAGAACCACTGTTCTCATCATGATAAGTTAATCATGAACACAATCTTATCAATGTACCGTGAAACCTGTGCAGGGTAATTTAAAACTGAATTATGTTTCCAAAAGCTTTAAGATAATGTTACAAAATGACCTTGATTTCGACAGATCAGTTATTTTTCATCATGTGCCTGTCTGAGTGATAGGAGAGAATTCCCCACATTCTTCAGAGTCATCCCTAGTGATGCTTATCAAGTGAAGGCCATTGCCAAACTCCTGCGGCATTTTAACTGGACATGGATCGGAGTGATACGAGGAGATCACGAGTATGGCCGCTTTGCCCTTCAGGGCTTACTGAAGGAGCTGGAGGGTACAGGCATATGTGTTGCTTATCAGAAGATGATCCCTTTGTTATATGATCGTCAGAAGGCGCTGGAAATCATACATGTCATGAGCCACTCCACTGCCCGTGTAGTAGTGGTGTTTTCAGCTGAAGGTGAGCTCACACCTTTCTTGAGAGATTACATGGAACAGAATGTGACTGGCATACAGTGGATCGCAAGTGAGGCTTGGGTTACATCCTCTGTGTTTGCAGGAAGTGAATTTGACCCTTTCCTTGGAGGGACTATTGGATTTGGCATTCGACAGGGCCAAATTCCTAGATTAAAAGAATATCTCACAACTGTGAACCCAGAAAGGTACCCCACAAATCCTCTGGTTTATGAGCTTTGGGGGGCTTTATATGGCTGTTCCCCCTCATGGTCCAACCTGAGTAGTCACTTGCCATCCTGTACAGGGAAGGAGACTGTTAGGCTGCAGTATTCTGCCTATTTAAACACATCCAGCCCTCGCATTTCCTATAATGTCTACAAAGCAGCATATGCCATTGCATATTCCCTGCACAATCTTATTTACTGTACCCCTGGAAAAGGACCATTTAGTAACTCCACATGTGCAAACGCACCTCATATCTACCCGTGGCAGGTACTGAAAATAATGAGTTCTTGAAGGGATAGTTCACCCCAAAATTAAAATGCTATATTTATTCACCCTTTACTTGTTCCAAACCTGTGTGACTCTCTTTTTCTGTTGAACACAAGATGAGATGTTTTGTAGAAAGCTGTATCCATTGACTTCCATGGTATTTGTTTTTTTTTCACTACAGAAGTCTTGGTTACAGGTTTTCAGCTTTCTTCAAATGATCTTCTTTAGCATTTAACAGAATACAGAAACTCGTAAAGATTTGGATCCACTTGAGGGTGAGTACATAGTGAGTAAACTTTAACCTTTGGGTGAACTAACTCTTAAGTTGCTATTTGTTAAATGACCTCTGTACAAAAAAAAAATAGTTCTTGATTTGATCAATTTATCACAATATTTCAGTTACAACAGTATCTCCAAGAGGTGTCATTCACTATTTCAGGAGAGAAAGTGAACTTTGACATGAAAGGTGATTCTATTCCATCCTATGACCTCATAAACTGGCAGAGGGGCTCAGCAGGAAATATTGAGTTTATAAATGTGGGCATGTTCGATGGTGCACTTGAATCTGGCCAAGAGCTGGTCATCAAGGAGGAGGCTATCATGTGGCCCGGCCATCAGACTGAGGCAAGCCGTTCTCACAGTGTATTACAGTACATGAGATCCCACGTTCTGAAGTTCTGTAGGGTCAATTGGAGGTAAGTGACTTAAATAAAGATGGCAGATTTGTCATCTGGGAAGGAAATAACGAAGGTGAAAATAATCTTTATTTTAATCCAGTAGTCTCTTATTTATTCAAGTAAATTTGACGCTAGACATTTAGTGACTTAATTAATGCTTTTTAGTTGTAAGGAGCATTATTAATTTACCAATTATTAATATGCATTTCTCTAATGGGTTTACATGATGTTTATTTTTTACTGTCACACATAACAAATATAAATGGCAGCATTTATAATGTAGTCATGGTTAAACATTTCTGTGTTCCTTGGACTTTTTTTTAAACTACTGTTATTACATTTTTTTCTTTAATTTTTCAGCCAAAACTCAAGCATAATAAATGACAATTCATAAATTTAAAAGGAAATTAATTAAAAATCATTAATAAATCCACGCAGTGTCTATTTTATTAAATGGTAAACATTATTTTTATCCACATATTTCCAAGAACATAGGGACTTGATACATTTTGTCATTAAAAACAATGTCCTCTGCTGTGACACTATATGCTAATTTTAAATTTGGCAATTCCACTGACAACGTAGATTATTAGTTGAAGATTCCAGATCATGTGACACATATGACTGAAGCCCCTGTGAAGGCCATGACAAGTTTTCGTCTCAGAATTTGTCACGTTGATCTTTTTTAGGCAACACTATACAATTATAAAGGTTTGCTGTCTTTTAGTGTGACGTCCTTGTTTATTGAAAATGTCTGACAAGTCGAACAAGAAAAAAAAATAATAAGTGTGTGTGTGTGTGTGTGTTTGTATTTGTGTGTGTCGTTACCTTAGAATTATAAGGTTCTATCTGACATTTTTGTCAAAACAAAGTTATTGACATATTCTTATAAACTTATTTACAGTATGGGATGTTTTTATAAATAAGTTGTTAACATTTTATGACTTTTAATTTTAAAACAAATGCTACACACATACTGTTATCTATATAAAATGCAAAAACTTGAAAGCTCAATATCTCAAAATCATTCTTATAATTCCAAGGTGACGATATGTACACACACACACACACACACACACACACACACACACACACACACACACACAGTTGAAGTCAGAATTATTAGCTCCCTGTTTATTTTTTCCCCAATTTCTGTTTAATGAAGAGAACATTGTTTAAACACATTTCTTAACATAATAGTTTTAATAACTCAATAACTTAATAGAGAAGAAGAGAGTGATATACATATACGATATACATGTTCTCCCAGCGTTCTCGTGCGTTTCCTCCGGGTGCTTCAGTTTACCCCCACAGTCCAAAGACATGCGGTACAGGTGAATTGGGTAGGCTACGTTGTCCGTAGTGTATGAGTGTGTGTGGATGTTTCACAGAGATGGGTTGTGGCTGGAAGGGCATCTGCTGCGTAAAACGTGCTGGATAAGCTGGCGGTTCATTCCGCTGTGGTGAACCCGGATTAATAAAGGGACTAAGCTGACAAGAAAATGAATGAATGAATATATATATATATATATATATATATATATATATATATATATATATATATATATATATATATATTTATTTTTATTTATTTTTTTTTTTTTTTCAAAAAATTGTATTTTACACACACAAAAATACTGCTTTTGTATTTATGAACTAACCATATATGTATGGATCTGTTGTTTAAGCAGGTGCTGGTGTCTGTGTGCAGCAACAGCTGTGCTCCGGGATTCAGGAAGGCTGTTCGTCGTGGCCAGCCTCTGTGCTGCTTTGACTGTGTACCATGTGACAGTGGCAAAATCAGTAATGAGACAGGTCAGAGAACTTCAGTAATTTGTATATAAATTTGCAAAAAGTGACCTTCAACTTAATTTTCCCTCCTTCTCTTTAGATTCACTAGATTGTATTGCCTGCTCTGAAGATTACTGGTCAAATGCTGATGGAACAGTGTGCATTCCTAAAGTGGTTGAATTCCTGTCCCATGATGCAATGGGATTAACCCTGACAGTAATAGCTGTAGCAGGAGCCTGCCTCACATTAGCTGTGTTTTCCGTGTTTCTTTATTACAAAAACACTCCTGTAGTACGCATAAATAACTCCGAACTCAGTTTCTTCATCTTGTTATCACTGACTCTTTGTTTTCTGTGTGCTTTGATATTCATCGGGGAACCCACATCTTGGTCCTGTATGCTTCGACACACTGCTTTCAGCATCACCTTCTCGCTTTGCATTTCCTGCATCTTGGGAAAGACTTTAGTGGTGCTGGCTGCTTTCACAGCGACCCGACCTGGAAACAATATAATGAAATGGTTGGGCCCTACACAGCAGAGAATCATCATTTTCTGCTGCACTCTCGTTCAGGTGCTCATATGTACAGTCTGGCTTGTAGTATCCCCACCATTTCCCTATAGAAACACTAAATATCAACAGTCCAAGATC